AACGACCCCTACCAGGAATCAATATTTCATTTTTATGGAGAAAGAAGCCCCAAAATAAGGAATTCAATTTCCTTAGTTCTGAAAAATGGTTTCTAAAGATGTTTCAAATTGAGATTCCGAAATTAAGGAATCGAGTTTCCTTGGTTCCGAAAAACAGTTTCCATGGAGATTCCTTAACAAAACGCGGAATCAAGTTTCGAAACCGGAATCGTGAGGTCGGTGGAGATTCCTTAACTGGCCTAGGCAGCCGCCTGAACCCGCATAAGCGGGCACCCCCAGGGGCAGAAATGCCCCCCATTGAGGGCATTTCTTTTATCATTTTTTTAATATTAAAGGGGCAAAATTATGGGTTTTAGGTTCATTTGAAACCTAAAACCCATTAGAGCCAATTACAGAGAGAAAAACCCCACAATTTTTTTATTTCTACTGGGCCGTCCAGGTTCTGGGCGCCCGCCTAAGCGTTGGGCGGCCTGGACCCCCCAGGCCGCCTAGGCGCCGCAAAACACTTTTTGAAACACTGATGGCTATTGTCCTACTTAGGCAATGGATTGAGAAGTTTAAGGAGCAGAGAAAAGACATCCACATGGTCTTTATTGATTTGGGTAAAAAAAGACAAGATTTGGTGGGTGCTAGAAAACAAAAGAGTCTCAAAAGGATATATTAATATTATTAGGGATATCTATGAGGGAGTACTAACTATTGAGAGCACAACTAGTGGAGAAACAAGTGAGTTTCTAATAACAGTAGACGAACATCATATCTCTTTCCTTTAGTTATGGACGAGTTAACTAGACATCCACAAGATGAGGTCCTGTGAAATGTGTTCTTTGTGAATGACATAGTTTGATTGATGAAACTAGAGACAGCGTTAACACAAAGTTAGATTTTTGACGGGATGCAATAGAATCTAAAGATTTTAAAATTAGTTGGACTAATAAAAAATATATAAAATGTAAGTTTAATAATAATAAAAGCAGAAATGAGGACTTAGTTAAGATTGATGACGAAGAAGTACCTAGATGATATTGTTTTGGATATCTTGGGTCGATAATTCATGAGAAATGAGAGATTGAGAAAGATGCTACCCATAGAATTGGAGTTGGATGGGCACAGTAAAGATGCACCTATGGAGTCATATATGATTGTTACGTATCAATAAAACTAAAGGAAAAATTCTATAAGATGGTTGTCAGACCAACTATGCTCTATGAGACGGATTGTTGGGTGGTCAAGAAATAACGTAACCATAGAATCTTGAGAAAGAATTCAAAATGAATACATTTAAGGGAACTTAAGGATAGCTCCATTAGGCGATAAAATGGGGAAAAGCAGACGTAGTTGTCTGATTATATGCAGCATCGACATAGAACAACACCGATTAGGAGAGGCGGTTTGGTTCAAGTGGAAGCCACTAAAAGGACAAGGAGAAGACCCCAAATGACATGGATAGAAGTAGGGATAAAGATATGGTAACTTATGATCTAACTAAGGTATGGGCCTCGATAGAGGATAACGGCAGAAGAGGATTCTTGTGGCCAACCCCAAATAATTGGGATAAGGCTAAGCTGATGATGATGATGGGCTTTGACTAGCTCCCAAACGAACTACACAGATTTGAGTAATGTTTTTTAATAAAGAATAATTTTCCTTCGATGATGCTTTCAATAATAAAACCAATAGAAACACTATTTTGGATGTTCATTTAGAGGTTTCCCTAAAAAAGAACTCTAAGAGATAAAGACCTATGGACATGCAAACAAGGCCCAGGGATATTTGTGTGAGATAAGAGAGTGAGAGCATCAGTTAGAAAGATGAAAATCAAGGGAAACTATTGTTCTATGTGACTTCAATAATTTATGAAATAAGAAAAAAATCCAGGAGAGAGTCACCTAGAGGTATATCTGCTTTCAGGATATCCTTTGGTGGGAGGTTTCATCAAGGGTTTGCATAGAAACCATCTTCCTCCCTCAAGACTATTTTTTTTATTTTTTAATTAACTTGTAAAAGTTTCAAGCATTGATTGGTGTGTTTTCCAGTTTGGTTCAAACTCTGAAATCAAAAACCCTAAGCTATGTAACTTTCAGAATATTAATGAACCCATTATATTTCACTTTCTGCCATGTCAAATTCCATATTTTGATGGTTATTCCATTGGGTGCAGTTTGCATGGAGCCGAGGCTCTAAATAATCAAATTAGAGCCCACCTTCAAATAGTGTCGAGAAATCTGGTTTCAATATTGGAAATCTTTTACTAGCCTTAAAATATATTTTCATCTTTAATTATAAAATTTAAATCTTAAAAAAATAGTGTAGATCAAGAAAATCTATGAAAGCTTGAATAACTTAAAAATTGACGGTCCAAAACTGCATTACAAAATGCACTATTTCCAAAACTTGAAATCCATTTTTTTCTCAAGTCCATGCATCTTGATATCGATGATCAAGTTGAGGATATTTGGGCATCAAAACAACCTCTTCTAATGAAATTTTTGAGGTAGGGTCTAATTTGATTGCTTAGAGCCTAGGATCTATATAAACTTTTCCCTATTCCATTTTCTTAGATGACATAGTTTCTTGACAATCATGTACGAAAATGTATTTCTCAAAAGGTGACTTATCAGTGTTGGTCATGTGTTGTGAACATGTCACAGTACAACCCCACAAACTCTGATATGTTAATATTACCATAGAAAAACTTAAAAATTAGAAAAATAAAAGACGTAACTTTCAGAAAACAATTTTGAAAATGCATCATGGATCTTCCCTCTCACTTCTAAGAAAGTGGAAATTGCACATGTTGATACTTTTAAGAAAATGTCAAAAACTCTTCTTGTTATCTATCTTTCCCAACTCTTTTTGTGAAGTGTTGACCCTCATTGAGAAGTGCCAGCATCTTCAAACTTTAATTAAGGCGTCACATCAAAGGAATATTGTGGAGAATAAAAGCAAATGATATTGGCAGACCCTACGAGGGCGTTTGGATACTTAGAAATACATTTGCAGAAATGTATTTCAGTGGAAATGACACATTTCTAGCGTTTGGATCGAAATTTTGGGACTGAAATGTATTTTTGGCCCACAATTGTTTTGTTCATTTCAACCCAAAAATAAAGAAATCTTTATCATTGTCTTAACCCTCTAAAATTGATTTCCAGCTAGATTTCTCTCTTATAGAAACATCCAATTTATAAAATATAATTAATTCGGCAAAAACACCACCATGAATTATAGAGAGATACTATCTCATACTTTATATTTTATAATAAGAAACTATCTTAAAATTTTAGACAGAGAAACTATTTCTAATTTTAGAGAAGGAAGATATCAAAATTTTTTAGAGAGAGAAATCATCTCAAAAAAAAAATAGAGAGAAACGATTTCAAATTTTAAGTTTTAAAGAGAAAATATCTTAAAAGTTTAGAGAGAGGAACTATTTCAAATTTAAAGTTTTAAAAAAAAAATATCTTAAAATTTTAGAAAGACAAACTATATCAAATTTTAGAGAGAAGAATCTAAATATGTTTTAGAGACAGAAACTATCTCAAATTTAAAGTTTTACAGAGAGAAAGTACTTGAAAATCTTAGAGAGAGAAACTATATCAAACTTTTTAGAGAGAGAAACAATCTCAAATTTTAATTTTTATAAAGAGAAAGTACCTCAAAATTCTTAGAGAGAAATTTTATCAAATTTTAAGTTTTAGAGAGAAAGTATCTAAAAAAAAACTAAAAAAAATGAAAACTATCTCAAATTTTAAGTGTTTAGAAAGATAAAGTATCTTAAAATTTTAGAGAGAGAAACTATATCAAATTTTAGAGAGAGACTATCTCAAATTTTAAGTTTTAGAGAGAGCACGTGCATGAAAATTTTTTTCAGAGAGAAAATATATCAAAATTTTTAGAGAGAGAAACTATATCAAAAGAAACTCTGTTAAATTTTATGTTTTAGAGAGAGAAAGTACTTCAAAAATTTTAGAGAGAAAGATATCTCAAAATTTTTAGAGAGAAACTATATGAAAAATTTTAAAGAGAGAAACTTAGAGAAAGTATTTGAAAAATTTTAGAGAGAGAAATTGTCTCTAATTTTTAGAGAGAGAAACTATATCAAATTTTAAGTTTCATAGAGAGAGTATCTTAAAATTTTAAGAGAGAGAAAAGATCTCAAAAATTTAGAGAAAGTACTTAAATATTTTTAGTCAGAGAAACTATCTTAAAAATTTTAGAGAGAGAAATTATCTCAACTTCTAAGTTTTAGGGAGAGAAAATATCTTAAAATTTTAGAGAGAGAAACTATATCGAATTTTAGAGAGAGAAATTAGTTGAAATATTTTAGAGAGAAATTATCTCTAATATGTAGAGAGAGAAACTACCTCAAATTTAATAATAAAAAAAGACATTATAATGAATAGTATAATAAAAATAGTTAACGAAATTTAAAAAAAAAAATGTTATGCATCCATCAAAAATGTATTTTCTATGAAAATAGAATATCTAGAGTAATCTATTTCCATGGATACAAACAGCCCCTACATGTTAAAGGGTTCATTCTTGAGAAGGGTTTGACACCTCTAAATTAAATCGGATGCTACCAACTAGTGCTAAGTTTCCATGGTGTGTGGAAATGTTGATATGCTACATAAATATAAGAAGAAAGTGATAGGATAACACTGCTTGCGAATCTAGGTAGACTTAATGAACCTCAATATCAAATATCTAGGGTTCTTATACACCAATACTAATTTCATGAAAAATCAACAGGCTATGAACGCGCATTCATGTATACCATAGCATTCCAACTAACCATAAAAGCCAAATGACAATCAAATTATTACAAGTAAAAAGTATATGACCAAATGCTTCACAAACCATCACTCATGCCGAAATTACTTCACATGTCAATATAAACTCAAACACAGGTATTTTTTGTCACCAACACATATTTGAGCATCAAAATATATTAACAGAAAACCTTAGTCTTCACAATACTAGCAAATAAGAAGTACCTTTCTGGAACTCGAAATTTTTCAACCAAGTTCTTAGCTGGGTTATGTATTTCCTGTCATGATCTGTAATATAGGGACTCGAAGAGAACTGATACGGAATAAAACGTTTACCAGACTTCCCTTCAAATAAAGAAAAAGAAGAAAACTTCTTGTTGAAACGAGCATACACCTCACCAGTGAAGATGTTAATCTGCATGACCAATGCACTAGTTACTACTGGATGTCCAAATGATTTAAGTTTCTTTCACACATACATCCTATGATCAGAAAGGTTACACATTTTTCCTAATAAGAATAGAAAAGTTACTCTTTAGTCAAAGGACAGGAAATCTATGAATTAATAAATTTACAGGATATTATTCCAACATAAATACATGAGATTTATAACTTCATGGCAACATTAGGTGTGAAAAGTGAAATATAGAAATTATTAAATTTATAAATTCATGGCAACATTAGGTGTGGAAAGTCAACTATAGAAATTATTTACTAATCATAATCAATGTTGTAAATAAGATATTTTGCCCTTATCCATACAATAGATTCAAAAATGCTGTTATAGCATTTTCCTATAGAGGAAGTACTTGTACTATGAATAACCATCAATTTCCCAGGGAAAAGCAGAAAAAAGATGATGATGATGATGTTAACTTTTAAAATTTTGACCACAAATGTTCAATCCTCATGAATTGTACCAATGGATCTTTTTAATATATAAATTACGAGATTGGCAATGTTCATTTGATCAGCGTGCTGCATGATATATGCTCACTTTCCAAGCACTTGAGCCATTTAGAGTGTCACTCACAAACAATACATAAAAAACCTTCCAATGTTCACCAGCACAGTGGTCAAACCAGCTAGATATCCACTCCAGGCCAATTGGGTCCTGCCAATGCACAAACCAGCCAGACCTTTTTTTCCAAAAAATTTGAAATAGATAGAATACTCACCAAACAAATGTGTAGAGAATAAAAAATAGGCTAGTCTTTTCAAACTAGAGGCAGTTTTTGAGGAAAATAGAGCCGTATAAGAACTGGAAATAAGATTAAACAGGGAGAGAGAGTATTGCTTGCAGTTATTCGATGGAATTTGTGTATGTGAATGCCTTGAGTGTGATATGGTGATGGTGTCAAGGAAAAGGAGCAAGAGAGCGACAAAGAGTCCAAAGTAATCAAACTGATGGAATCCTGTAGTTTGCCCCCCTCGTGTGTGTGTGTGATGTAAATAACATCAACGAGCTGGTTGGACCATGATAACATTTTTGAATTTGAAGTAGGGACAAATATGGAATTCCAGAATTTGTTGAGTACACTTTTGTAATTTGTCATAAAAGGGTTATTTTGGGTTTTAGTGTAAAGCCAAGGATAGAATAGAGTGTTGTAGATTACCCATGTATGTCAACAAGTCAGAGTAGAGTAATTGGTGTTTAGAGTTTCCAATGAGTTAGCCTCAATGATATACCTATGCATGGGAATTTGGTTGCATGAATGGAGAAATATAACTTGAGACCTAGATTGCATGCAAGCTGAATTAATTACATGGGAAATAGGGAATATGGGTATTTTAGTCCTTTTACTATTTTATTGGGGGTATTTTGCTCAATCTTTAGATCCAGGGAAGGGGTTCTTAAACATAGAACTTACTATAACAATTGGATAATTCTACAGTTGATGATTTTATTAATGAAATCAAAAAAATTTCCAACTTGGTGTACAGATAGAGTGTGTGTTCCCAACTTTTGGAAGGCCATCTACTACACTTGGCAAGACTAGGGGCTGAAAATCCCTTGCTCTTTCACTCCCTCGATCGAGATCAAGGAAGCTTGGTCAATGTTGTAAAATCGGCCTCAGGCCTATCCTTTCTGGTGTTGGTTTTACACTATTTAGTATAAGAGCCACAGTTGAGCTTCGTCGATTTTGATGGCTGCACGTGATAGAGGACGTGGCTGAAGATATGGAGCTCACGACTTTGATAAGATGGCAGAAAGGGTGAATAACCTAAAGGAGTTGGCGACCTTGCTAATGTATGATCGGATGTTTGAGAGGGTGAGTTGCCTAAAGAAAACAGTAGCCATGCTGATGCATGAGAGAAATTACATGGGCATGATAAGGCCTATGGTGACGAGACCAACATGTATGAATTCCTATGGCACGCACCATGAGTCGAAGATCAAATTGGTGTCAGACGGGTGAAAGCCATGGTATGATCACAGTCAAGAGTTTGATGCACAATGTCACGCGATCGATGATGATTTGAGCAGGTACTATGGACTTCTATCAGAGGAAAACCATGGAGGAACTGTATTCTCATAAAATGAGTTTCAAAATCAGCACATCATGGACTGGGACTCACCACCAGCCTTTGACAAGTAATTGGATGAAGATTAAGGTGCTGAAGGTGATAATGACTTCAATGGTGATCCAATTGTTGAAGAGGATCAAGAAGAAGATCCTACCTTTAGAGAGGATTTCGTGAATCTTCTCCTTGATGAAGACCTAGGTGAGAGTGACGAATTAGCTCCTAAGATTATTATCATAACTGGTTTCTTTTTCCCCGAAGGAATAAGTGAAAGAATAATGTTAATGACGAAGGTAAAGATGCTGATGAGGAGACAATTAGAGGGGAAACTGCAAAGAGCTCCTTTTCTCTCAATGATGGTGGTGGCGAACCTTTGTATTTCCATTCAAAGGGCTTTACTCCCCAACTGTATGCTGCTGAACTTGGTTGTTCTCTCTATCTCTTACCTGAATTTAGGGTGTCACATGAGGTTCACACCAAAGAGTTCAAGGTAATTTCCCCTAAACTCTCAGTTGGTGAGCTTAGCATAGGGGATGCTCACCAAATGGTGGCTGAAATCATTCTCTATGAGGGAACTCAGGCTAAGTTGTCGCTTTGCTTTTATAGAAAAACCAACTTTGTTCCTTATCATCTTCCCCCAAAACTTAAACCCAAGGAACCTAATATCTGCATCTCGACTTTACAAAATTCAGCAAGAACAGCCTCAGAGTTCAAAGGTTTTCTTGCATCTCAAGAGAAGAGTTCTCTTCAACTGTGTTTATGGCCGATAGCATTGATCGTTGGCATTGCAGCTGTCTTAGTTTTCAATGTGCACAAAACAATGATGGATGAGATGTCTATGAAATGCATCATAACCTGGAAAACATTGATTTTGAATTGCATATCTTTAAGATTGAGTTACAATGTTTCTAAGAGATGAAAAACCCTGGATTTTGGTCTTCTCAATTTCCCCTTGCTGGTATTGCTACATCAAAGTGGTGCAGTGGATGATTAGGGAGTATGGGACTGCTAAGCATACCTGTGTTAGAGCTCTGAAACATGGGTTTAGTGGTAATATTTGCACCAGCATTGCACTATCATGAGCTCATTACAAGATTGGGAATCTCCTATCAGCAGATTTAATGCTCAAACTAACAAATCATTGAGTTGAGATTTCCTACAAAATTATTTTGAATAGATATCTCCGAGGATGTATGATTAGAAGTAAATCAAGACTCTTCCCTCCTATGCTTATTCATAGTTCTAAACCAAGTTATTTTGATCTTCTTGTCGTTGCTAGTGCATACTTGCGCTTGAACTCAAGGAATTTAGTCTTGGATGTTCAAGTTCATGGAGAACTTTAAGTTGGGCATAGATTCACATTTCCATGTGGTTTATTGCATTATTACTTGCTTTGACTCATTGGAGTGTGCATATTCTCTTGAAAATTGGCAAAAGCAAGGCATTATCGAACGGATCTCTGATAGGAGATTGTGTTGTCCATGTCCATGGAGGCATTACTCTGAGCTATGTTTTACAACTCAATGCTTTGGGCCTGAAAATGGAAAATTTAGCAACGCTCTGCAAATCTCAAGCATGCAAAGCAGGTAAGATCTCATATTGAATATGAAACCTCAAGTGGGTTTTACTAGATATTTTGTGTTTTAGAGAGGCATTCAAGGTATTTCTTGAGCCATGCTTTAACTTTATTGGGAGTTGTGATGAACGTAATGTTGGTCATGCAGGTACTGGCCATGTGAGAACCAAGGGTGTTGGTGCTTGTTTTATTACTTTCATAGATGGTGTTCTCAGTGAACTTAACACCATTTGCTGAATTTTGCAGCAAAGAATTACAAATGATGTGTTCGACTCTGATGAATAGCTTGAGTGGTGCAAAGGCTAAGTGACACTAATATCTCCACTATATTGGAGGAGAGCAAACTTGTTTACATCAGCGTAAGCTACTACTTGTGTGTCATTCTTCACCAAACCGTGAGCAGCGAGGCCATACCTTTCTTCCTTGCACTAAATCAGAGCAATCAGCTAGACCTTGAGGCTACAGTTGAAATAACTACAAAATTCTTTAACAAAGTAGTGAAGCCAGTACTAGCAACGGGGCCAATTTCAGAGTTGCAAAGGTGGGCGAAAGTGAAACATTGATCAAGCGCCTGGATGCTAGTGGTTGAGTAATAGCTATCATGTGACCAGATAAGAGACCAACCTTTTATAGCCAAAGATCGGTCAATTACTGTTCACACTGATCGGGTGGTGAAGGCTAATAGCCTAGCATTTGGTTGTCTTCCAATGAAGCACTTCCTAAAAGCCATGGTGAAGAGGTTAAATTTGTATTACCTTAGATTCTCGAGCATTTACTATCATTGCTCTAAACTGATTGCTGTGGATGTTGGAGGCCAAGTTCATCTACAGGTTTAAAAGAGAATAATGCTTGCGATACTCGAAGCAAACCATCCTTTCTAAGCTGACACATGAGAGTGTTGCAGGACTTTTGGAGAGATGAGAAGAAATGGGCTGGGATTCAATTAGATCTCTCTTGCAGCTTTGTTTAGAGCTCGCAAGTGCACCAAGAGATTCATGTATGAAGAGCCAGTCCATGCTCAAATGCTAAAGTTGAGGCTTGGTTTTGACAATTTTTCAATGAGTTCTTTCCTACCTACGTATATTGATTGTGAGATTGTAGAAACCCATTAGAAGTAAGATTTTTGTTTTTGCAATGGTTCAAACTTCTTTGATGGGTAGCGACTCTTCTTCAGTGCCAACATTATGCTTTGATCTTTCCATGTGAAACATGTTGCCTACCATGTATGTAAAGCGTGGGACCATCAAAAACATGGAGTTCGACCACATGCCTCATAAGGATAAATCCCATGGAGCTAGAGTCAAAGATATAGA